GGGCCAGTTCTCCTCTCCCCGAATTATTACTACGGAAAGGCCTCGGATTACCTTGGCTTACCGACTTTTCAAGCAACCGTCCTACCCAAAGATTAGTGAGAAGAGGTGAAAAGCCACTTCCCCCAAACCTTCTTAGGCTAACCACCTGGATTACGTTGGCTTACCGTCGTTTGGCGCAACCGAGTGACCCTTGCAAAGGTTCGGGGAGAGGTGGAGCACCCCTTCCCCCGGATTTTCTTAGGCCAACCACCCGGATTACGCTGGCTTACCGTCGTTTGGAGCAATCGATTCCCAGATGCCAGGGGTTGGGGAGAGGTGGAGCACCCCTCCCGCCCAGTATTCTTAGGCCAATGACCTGGATTACGTTGGCTTACCGTCGTTTGGGGCAATCGATTTCCCCGTGGCAAGGGTTGGGGAGAGGTAGAGCACTCCTCCCCTCCGTTGTTCTTAGGCCAGTGACCCGGATTACGTTGGCTTACCGTCGTTTGGGGCAATCTATGCCCACATGCCAAGGGTTGGGGAAAGATAGAGCACCCCTCCCCTCCGGTGTTCTTAGGCCAATGACCCGGATTACGTTGGGTTACCGTCATTTGAGGCAACCGTATGACCCATGCCAGGGGTCGGGGAGAGGTAGAGCACCCCTCCCCTGCAGTATTCTTAGGAAAACCACCTCGATTACGTTGGCTTACCGTCGTTTGGGGCAATCGGTTCCACCATGCCAGGGGTTGGGGAGAGGTAAGGAGCCCCTCCCCTCCGGCATTCTTAGGCCAATGACCTGGATTACGTTGGCTTACCGTCGTTTGGGGCAACCGGATGCCCCGAGCCAAGGGTTGGGGAGAGGTGGAGCACCCCTCCCCTCCTGTATTCTTAGGCCAATGACCCCGATTACGTTGGGTTACCATCGTTTGGGGCAATCGGATGGCCCATGCCAAGGGTTGGGGAGAGGTGGAGCACCCCTCCCCCCCCCCGTATTCTTAGGCCAATGACCTGGATTACGTTGGCTTACCGTCGTTTGGGGCAACCGGATGCCCCGAGCCAAGGGTTGGGGAGAGGTGGAGCACCCCTCCCCTCCTATATTCTTAGGCCAATGACCCCGATTACGTTGGGTTACCATCGTTTGGGGCAATCGGATGGCCCATGCCAAGGGTTGGGGAGAGGTGGAGCACCCCTCCCCCCCCCCCGTATTCTTAGGCCAATGACCTGGATTACGTTGGGTTACCGTCGTTTGGGGCAATCGGATGGCCCATGCCAAGGGTTGGGGAGAGGTGGAGCACCCCTCCCCCCCCCGTATTCTTAGGCCAATGACCTGGATTACGTTGGGTTACCGTCGTTTGGGGCAATCCGATGGCCCGTGCCAAGGGTTGGGGAGAGGTGGAGCACCCCTCCCCCCCCCGTATTCTTAGGCCAATGACCTGGATTACGTTGGGTTACCGTCGTTTGGGGCAATCGGATGGCTTGTGCCAAGGGTTGGGGAGAGGTAGAGCACCCCTTCCCCCCCGTATTCTTAGGCCAATGACCTGGATTACGTTGGGTTACCGTCGTTTGGGGCAATCCGATGGCCCGTGCCAAGGGTTGGGGAGAGGTAGAGCACCCCTTCCCTCCTGTATTCCTAGGCCAATGACCTGGATTACGTTGGGTTACCGTCGTTTGGGGCAATCAAGTCCCCGGAACCCAAGTGATGGAATCCATCCGGATCGGACCCCGGATGGGTTTGATCGAACCCATTCGGATGGAACCCATCCGGATCCGGATCTGGATCGATCGAACCCATTCGGATCCGAGTCGATCGAACCCATCCTTATCGAGCCGATCCGGATCCGGATCGATCGAACCCGTGTGGATCAAACCCATCCGGATCCGGATCAATTGAACCCATCCGGATCCGGATCGATCGAACCCATCCGGATCCGAGTCGATCGAACCCATTCGGATAGAACCCATCCCTATCGAGCCCATCCGGATCCGAGTCGATCGAACCCATTCGGATCGAACCCACCCGGGTCCGGATCGATCGAATCCGTCCGGATCCGGATCAAATGAACCCTTTCGGACCCAAGCCCATCCGGATCCGGATCGATCGAACCCATCCGGATCCGAGCCGATCGAACCCATCCGGATCCGAGTCGATCGAACCCATCCGGATCCGGATCGATCGAACCCATCCGGATCCGGTTCGATCGAACCCATTCGGATGGAATCGATCCGGATCCGAGTCGATCGAACCAATCCGGATCCGAGTCGATCGAACCCATTCGGATCGAACCCATCCGGATCCGAGTCGATCGAACCCATTCGGATCGAACCCATCCTTATCGAACCCATCCGGATCCGGATCGAACCCATCCGGATCCGGTTCGATCGAACCGATTCGGATGGAATCGATCCGGATCCGAGTCGGTCGAACCCATTTGGATCGAACCCACCCGGGTGCGGATCGATCGAACCCATCCGGATCCGGTTCGATCGAACCCATTCGGATGGAATCGATCCGGATCCGAGTCGATCGAACCAATCCGGATCCGAGTCGATCGAACCCATTCGTATCGAACCCATCCGGATCCGAGTCGATCGAACCCATCCTTATCGAACCCATCCGGATCCGGATCGATCGAACCCATCCGGATCCGGTTCGATCGAACCGATTCGGATGGAATCGATCCGGATCCGAGTCGATCGAACCCATTTGGATCGAACCCATCCGGATCCGGATTCACCGGCCCCATTCGTATCGAACCCATTCGGGTCCGGATCGATCGAACCATCAAGGTCAAAGCCTAGGCAGGGTATTCCTATGCCAATGGCCTGCATTGCGTTGGGTTACGATTGTTTGGGGCAATCAAGAACCGAAACCCAAGTGATGGGGAGTGGTAGAATGCCCCATCCCTAGAGTATTCCTAGGCCTATGACCTGGATTACGTTGGGTTACCGTCGTTTGGGGCAATCCGAAAACACATGGCCGAATGATGGGGAGAGGAAAAATACCACTTCCCTAGGGTATTCCTAGGCCTATGACCTGGATTACGTTGGGTTACCGTCGTTTGGGGCAATCCGAAAACACATGGCCGAATGATGGGGAGAGGAAAAATACCACTTCCCTAGGGTATTCCTAGGCCTATGACCTGGATTACGTTGGGTTACCGTCGTTTGGGGCAATCCGAAAAAATATGGCCGAATGATGGGGAGAGGAAAAATGCCACTTCCCTAGGGTATTCCTAGGCCTATGACCTGGATTACGTTGGGTTACCGTCGTTTGGGGCAATCGGATGGCCCATGCCAAGGGTTGGGGAGAGGTGGAGCACCCCTCCCCCCCCCCGTATTCTTAGGCCAATGACCTGGATTACGTTGGGTTACCGTCGTTTGGGGCAATCCGATGGCCCGTGCCAAGGGTTGGGGAGAGGTGGAGCACCCCTCCCCCCCCCCGTATTCTTAGGCCAATGACCTGGATTACGTTGGGTTACCGTCGTTTGGGGCAATCGGATGGCTTGTGCCAAGGGTTGGGGAGAGGTAGAGCACCCCTTCCCCCCCGTATTCTTAGGCCAATGACCTGGATTACGTTGGGTTACCGTCGTTTGGGGCAATCCGATGGCCCGTGCCAAGGGTTGGGGAGAGGTAGAGCACCCCTTCCCTCCTGTATTCCTAGGCCAATGACCTGGATTACGTTGGGTTACCGTCGTTTGGGGCAATCAAGTCCCCGGAACCCAAGTGATGGAATCCATCCGGATCGGACCCCGGATGGGTTTGATCGAACCCATTCGGATGGAACCCATCCGGATCCGGATCTGGATCGATCGAACCCATTCGGATCCGAGTCGATCGAACCCATCCTTATCGAGCCGATCCGGATCCGGATCGATCGAACCCGTGTGGATCAAACCCATCCGGATCCGGATCAATTGAACCCATCCGGATCCGGATCGATCGAACCCATCCGGATCCGAGTCGATCGAACCCATTCGGATAGAACCCATCCCTATCGAGCCCATCCGGATCCGAGTCGATCGAACCCATTCGGATCGAACCCACCCGGGTCCGGATCGATCGAATCCGTCCGGATCCGGATCAAATGAACCCTTTCGGACCCAAGCCCATCCGGATCCGGATCGATCGAACCCATCCGGATCCGAGCCGATCGAACCCATCCGGATCCGAGTCGATCGAACCCATCCGGATCCGGATCGATCGAACCCATCCGGATCCGGTTCGATCGAACCCATTCGGATGGAATCGATCCGGATCCGAGTCGATCGAACCAATCCGGATCCGAGTCGATCGAACCCATTCGGATCGAACCCATCCGGATCCGAGTCGATCGAACCCATTCGGATCGAACCCATCCTTATCGAACCCATCCGGATCCGGATCGAACCCATCCGGATCCGGTTCGATCGAACCGATTCGGATGGAATCGATCCGGATCCGAGTCGGTCGAACCCATTTGGATCGAACCCACCCGGGTGCGGATCGATCGAACCCATCCGGATCCGGTTCGATCGAACCCATTCGGATGGAATCGATCCGGATCCGAGTCGATCGAACCAATCCGGATCCGAGTCGATCGAACCCATTCGTATCGAACCCATCCGGATCCGAGTCGATCGAACCCATCCTTATCGAACCCATCCGGATCCGGATCGATCGAACCCATCCGGATCCGGTTCGATCGAACCGATTCGGATGGAATCGATCCGGATCCGAGTCGATCGAACCCATTTGGATCGAACCCATCCGGATCCGGATTCACCGGCCCCATTCGTATCGAACCCATTCGGGTCCGGATCGATCGAACCATCAAGGTCAAAGCCTAGGCAGGGTATTCCTATGCCAATGGCCTGCATTGCGTTGGGTTACGATTGTTTGGGGCAATCAAGAACCGAAACCCAAGTGATGGGGAGTGGTAGAATGCCCCATCCCTAGAGTATTCCTAGGCCTATGACCTGGATTACGTTGGGTTACCGTCGTTTGGGGCAATCCGAAAACACATGGCCGAATGATGGGGAGAG